AAGGAACTTGCAGAGGGAGAGTACCTCTTGATGTGGTAGTGTTCATTTAACCTTTAGTAATAATAAGGTTAATAATGAGAAGTCCAGCCTGTTGGGCCTTTTCTTCATGGATTTCACTTCAAGCGTTCACGTGAAAGAGAGTTTTGTGACACATCTCATTTGATGAATAAGGCATTTAATAAATAAGTAGTCTCCCATAGCACCTGTCTTCTAAACAGTTCATGAGGATGCCCAGATAACCTTGATAATGTTTATGTCTAAAAGTTTAAATATTCAGACTGAAACAGAAAAGGAAATGAGACTGGGGTGGGGGCAAGGGAGTTAGAACTTGGGAAATAACAAACTGTCTCTGATGCTGTCTACTAAGTATGCCACGTGAGGAAACATGAACTGAGAAGATTAACTGAGAAGTTTTAGTGGTTGTAGAAATGACATGGTTTTGGCATGTTGTTTTTGCAACTGTTGTCACAGATGGGTTTTATACCCTCAGTGGGTACATAGAACTTCCCCATAAAGTTTTTATAGAAATGAGAAAGCAGGAATTATGCATAGATTCATAGTTATTAGTAATGTCTTGGTCACCTTTCTGTGCTAAAAGCCCCATCCTTGTTCTTGCCTTTTTTTTTTTTAATAGAATCCTCATCTCCCTACTTCTTTAGGTCTCTTGAGATTGGATCCCTAAATGGCTTTAATGTTCTATCTCCCTTCAGCATGGATTTCTCCTGTATATATTTGGTTGCATCCAGCTGCTATTGCCACTTCCTTCCTCACACAATAAATTAGGTACACCGATGGTAGAGAGTCCAAATGTGATAGTTCTGGTTTCCTTAATGAGAAATTAAATTACATTATATTAGATCACTACAAAAATGCCAGTCGTATGTTTCTTGTATCTAGTTTGTCATTGTTCTAAAACCACTGATTTTGAGTCGGGAAAACCTAGATTCAGATCCTGCCTCAGACACTATGTAACTGAGCATATCACCTAACTTCTCTGTACCTCAGTTTCCTCCTTTGGAAAATGAAGGGATTGGACTCAATGGTTTCTAAGGTCCCTTTGAGCTCTAAATTTATGATCCTATGAAGAGTCTTAGTTGAATCTTCTCATCTGCCTTTTGTTATTTTGTTAATCAATGCTAATGAACAAAAAACTAGTGAGATAAATTTTGCATTGTGGTTGTAGAATTTTTAAACAAATCTGTATACTAAACCAGTGTTGTGCTTGGCTACTACATGTTTCCACTTGTGAAGAAAACTAAATATTTGCAGATTGTGTGGGTTCCTAGATTCATTAGGCCTTCTCTTTGTGGTGTTTGTTTTGTGTTGATTAAACTTTTCAAGGAAATGGTAAATGATGATGTCAGTTTCTTTGCTTTTGTCCATTTCCTATTTTTTCAAAGTCAGTTGTTTGTTTAAAATAAGTCAGGTTGGAGCTGCTGTCATTATAATAAATGCATTGTCTTCTTTGCATTATCTTTGACTCTTACTCTAAATCCTCAGGGACCCAAATACACACATATAACTGATTTTTAAATAATGTGAGTAATTTACAGTTATGTATCTCTTTGGAGTTTACATACATTATTTCATTTTATTTTCACAAGTCTGTGAGGTGATAGTACAAGTCTTATCATTCACATTTTAGAGGATAAGAAACTCAACTTTAAAAAGATAAAGTGACTTGACTCAAGTCACACATAAGGAGGAGAAGGAGGAGGAAAAACAGAAAGAAGAGAAGGAGGAAAGCAGGAGGAATAGCTAATATTTACATAGCTCCTTAAGGTTTGCAAAGTGTTTTACATGCATTAAAAGAGCAGAGGTGAGGACAAAATTGTCTCCTGACTCCACACCCAGTGTTTTTTCTATGGCACCACAGCGGTCTACGATCTGGAAGCAGTTATTTCCTGCCTATTGAGATTTAGTCAATTTCCTTTTTTAAATTTAATGCTTATCTTATCCAACACCTTCTGACTTTTAAAAATTTAAATTTTTTTCAACTAACAAAAATCTTATTTTCTCTCCTTTCCATCTCTTTGGAAGAACTTGTTTTAAAAATAAATATGAATAGTGAAGCAAAACAAATTCCTACTTTGGCCATGTCCAAAAAAGCCTCATTTTGCACCTTGAGTCCATTACATCTCTATCAGCAGGTGGGTGGCAGGCTTCATCATCACTCCTCTGTAATCATGGTTGGTTATTGCATCATTCAGAAGTCTTAATTTTTTCAGAGTTGTTTGCTTTAAAATGTTATTGTATAAATTGTCCTTCTGGTTCTGCTTACCTTACTCTGCAGCAGATCATATGTCTTCTCAGGTTTCTCTGAAATTATATCTTTCATTATTTCTCATGACACAATGGTATTCTATTACATTCATATACCATTTATTCAACTAGTCTCCAGTTTATGAACTTATGACTTTCTTTTTTGGGGAAACAATCACTGTTTATAGGTATGAGTAGGGGTGTGCTAGTAAATGTTTAACAACCAGCTCTCCAGGGGAAAAAAAAACACACTTTTCACGACACACTTTTCAGTTTGATCTGCATCATTAACATTCTCTCCATCATCTTCTTAAGCCCAGACAATTGACAAAACAATAAATCAAGCCCTGATTTGTAGCATTTGCTTATTTCTGAGGCATAAATGCTTAAACTGAAAATTTAACAATCAACTCTGATTGAAACTATCTTCAGCCATCTCCACAGTATAGGCTTAACAAGTCCTTGGCTTTGTGGATCATTTCTTGACTTGAACTGTGTTCTCCAACACAACTGTTTTGCCATCTTCCCTCTGCCCACTCTTGCACCGATACTGCTGCATATCAAATTCTGTATTTGTTTAGTATGATGGGCCCTATCAAGTTCTTCATACGAGTCAACTTCCTCATTCTCATTGACAAATAGAAATTACTTTTCCTACACAAATAAATAAAATAATAACAAAAGTACATCTTTAAAAAGTCACAATGCAAGTTTTACCAATTAATAAAATAAATATTTGTTTAATTAAATTTTAAAAACTAGAAAATGAGTAGTATTCATTAAACAAAAGGAGAAACTGAAATCAGAGAGAGAGAGAGAGAGAGAGAGAGAGAGAAAGAGAGATGTATATGGTAGATAGGATACAGTATAATTTGCCCTGAGGGCAAATGCCTTTAGGGATGGTGCTGATAACAGTTTCCCTTCAGGTCAGAGAGAAGTTATGAAATAACTGTAAATCAGAAGGTAGGCTATGATTCCCAGAAGTCCATGCAACTGTTTTAGAATTCTGACCTCCCTCTCACATTAAGATATACTTTGAAAACTATAAAGGACTTTCTTCAAATTACAGCCCACATTTATTACATAGGGAAAGGAAAAATAAGTTGTACATCACAGAGTTTTGGAGTCTCATGTACAATTCTATTTTGTATATGAGGCAGATGGGTGAATATCCAAAGGATAGAGCACTGGGCCTGAAGTCAAGAAGACCTGAATTCAAATCCAACCTCAGATAATTAATAACATCGGGACTCTAGGCAAATTATTTAATCACTATATGCCTCAGTTTCCTCATCTGTAAAATAGGGATAACCTAGCACTTACCTCTCAGGGTTATTATGAAGATAAAATGAGATACTATTTGTAAAGTGCTTTGTAAACCTCTATGTGCTATAAAAATGCATATATCATGCATTTCTATGTGCTATATTATGTGACATTTTGCAATTATATTATACTATACTATAATACACTATATTATATTATATTACAACATATTATATCATTATATTGTGTGATTATTTGATTTGGTGTCTATTAATTTCAGAATTTAAAAAAAATGAAAACTGAAACAAAGCACTTCTCTCACATTAATCCAGTGAGGTAGTGGATCATGTAAGCTTTCCACCCTTTTTAGATGTGGAAGCCTTTCAATATGTATTTGACCAGTGGTGTGCATTATTAATAACCTGATTCTATGGAAATAGATTATTGATTATATAATTGATTATGTATATTATATATAGATTATATTATATATGTAGATGATATATATTATATATTGATTATATAATTGATTATATAAAGCTTATTTGCTTTTCAATTGTAGAAGTTTATATTTTCAATCCTTAAAGGCAATATTTTTCTATATCTTTACTGTGAAAATATAATAAATTCTGTTTTCTGGCATCTAGGAAAGAGGAAACTGTATTTGCTATGCTATGTTGGTCTGGGTAGCTTAAGAAATGATACTCTTCTCTAGGCTGTATAAAGTGATAGATTTATTTGAAAAACTCAAAGAAAACAAAAAAGACAAAGTATCAAGTGCTTACTAGGTAATGCTAAATCAATCAACAAGTGTTTTTTAAGCACCTGATGGATACTTTGCTACTCATTAGAGATACATTTCCCAGTTCTTGCATTTGGTGCTGCTGGGGCAGCATGTACATATATAATATAAGTAAGTGCAGGATAAGTTAAAGAGGTGCTAGGAATTAGAAGGATTGGGAAAGCCCTCATCATGGAAAGATTTTTGAGCTGTGTGTTTTGTGTTCTATAATCTCAGAATTAAGGCAGTGAGGTGGCGCAGTAGATAGAGTGTCAGCCCTGGAGTAAGAAGGACCCAAATTTAAATCTGACGTCATAGACTTAGTAGTTGTATGACCCTGGGCAAGTCACTTAAACCTCATTTGCCTCAGTTTCCTCATCTATAAAATGAGCTGTAGAAGGAAATGGTAAACCACTCCAGTATCTTTACCAAGAAACCTGAAATGGGGTCACAAAGAGTGAGAGCCAACTCATTGACTAAACAGCAAGTCTCAGAATTAAGAAAGACAAAATACCTGGTCTATTTGTTTTCTTTAACTCCATTATATCTATTTTAGTACACATGTCATCATTTATATAGATTTTATTCTTTCATGTCAGTAGATTTATTAGATTCTTTCAAAAATTTAGGATTAAAATATAAATCTTTTTTTCTCAAAATTCATCTGTGACTATGTTGTGTTTATTTCCAGGTTCCATTTTTTGGGAAGAGAATGCATCACACCTGCCCTTGCCTGTCTGGGTTGGCCTGTGTACGGACTACATTTAACCGATTTAGATGTTTACCCAGGAAATAATGATCACTTTTGAAATGGAATCAGTTAAATGTGGACAGCAACTTAATGTATTTAAAGTTTTTCTTGTGATTGTAATGACCAAGTTATATGCTAGGAAAAAAAATCCTATTACTTTCTCCCTTCACAAGCATCAAAAATGAATATATCTAAGCCTAAGCAATATTCTTAGACTTGATTTAAAAATGATGGGTTTTTATGGAGATAGCATTTTGAATAGAAATGTTGAAAGTAAAGTATTATGGACTAGATTGTCTTTTCCACATTCATTTCATTTTATAAAACCAAGGCCAGAGTCTCTACCAGAAAGATAAGGAAGAAGGTAATCTAGTGTAACCCAGGGTCAGGAACCAGCTGTAGTTTAGCTGCATCAGCTTGTGGGAGTCATAGGCCTGGTGGAGAAGTTGTACCATCTTTCCTGGGCTGTGATTGCCAGAAGTCTGTGCAGGTATCCCAGAACTTCTCCAGACCTACAGGCAAGTTGGCTGTAATTCAAAGCTACACTCATATTTGATGACCATTAAACTGTCAGGAGGAGGCTAATTTTTTTTAGGTTTTCCCATTTCCCTCATCACAGTTCCCCAAAAAGATACACATTTTTTTTTGTTTCCATATCTCTCAATCCCCAGGGCACATTAAATCTCAACTTAACTATGACTGATCTCACAACTCATTCTTCTCCCTGATGCCTCATCACCCTACTCAGATTCTAAGTTGGCATTTACTGAATGTCCACCTGTGGCGGAAAAATGTCCACCTTCCACCTTTGGTGGAAAGTCCATCAGTGCTGGCCTTTTGGGTACTTAGTGAAAGCAATGGAAAAAGTGAACAACTGATTAATCTAACTCCATGTCTTTTCCCAGAGTAGTAAAGGTCTCATGGGCACAGCAGTCAAAAAAGTGCTATTACCTTCGAACGAGCTAACCATATGTAATGAAGGTGTACTGCCACTATCTGTCTGAACCAGGAGCAGCAAGTTCTGCTGTTAGAGAGATGTAAGAGCAAAGAGAATAGCGAACCAAATTAATGTTTTCTTACTTTTTTTTGAGTTGTCCCTCAAAGTCTTTTTTCTTTCTCATAATAGAATTTCATTTTATGAATGAGACATTTAGATATACCATAGAACATGCCATCCAAGAGGAAGAATTTATTTTAATCTGGCATAAAACTAGTTATACATTTGAAATAATATGTATTAAAATGTCACTTGTATTTTCTTTGAAACTTAAAGGTTTATTGTAATGGGTTGCTTAATATCTTGTCATTTGTACCTGTATCAATATTGCTGTGTAAAAATTCTGTATCAGAATAATGACAGTATTGTATATCATTTGATTGTAATATTATATCCTTATTTTTGTCACAATGGTCTCAGTTTTTATTCCAACAAGTGAGGATAATTTCTAAATAGGTCACACTCCAAATCCAATGAGGACTAAGAAGCCGGTAAAAATAGAGCTATTTAGTATACATACAGTTTGAGTTTGTGCCAAATGAAATTTTACGAGCATATATTTCAGAACATTCAAAAACCAAGCCCAATATGCAAGTAAATGTGACAATGGAACTTAAGGGGAAATCGTGACATGCATAAAAGGTTGTAATTAGGAATGAATTAATAGAACTTCACTGTGTATTAAGTACAATTGATTATATATAGATGCACATGAACAACATTTTTAAAGATATAAAGTCTACATAAATTCAGGAAGATTGGAGAAAAAGCAAATTGCCTTTATTGTGTATGAATGCGTGTTGTCGCAAGTGAACAAACTACAAAATTTACTTAAATTAGTAAAATTGACTGAAGTTCAACCACCATGAGGTAGAAAAATGTTCATGATTTGAGAACTTTCTCTGCTGTTTATATAAACAGGGTCTACAGTTCCAAATTATATACACTTTATCCAATAAGAATTAAATTGAAAGCATTTATTGTTTACTATATACCAAGCAATATTCTAGGCACTGGAGATGCAAAGATAAGCAGACAGTCCCTGCCTTTAGGACACTTACTTTCTAATGGGGGAAATACAGAAACTGGGAAGTGGAGACCAGGGCAGGGTATTGCATTTTCTAAAGTCACAGGCACAGCCATAGGAATCATGGAGGGAATAAACTGGCACCCCTCTAAGTAGCAATGGCAGTATTATCGCTCCAGAACTATGAGGGCCAGGGAAGAACTGGAATGTACCTAAGGCCAGTGAGAAGATGGTGAGGGACTAAGTAAAGTACACCTGATAGGAGGAGTCTAATCAAAATTACTTTCAAAATTTTGTAACTTTGAAATAAACACCAAATTTGGTTTTCTTGTGAAGTTAACTGCTTGGCCATAGCAAGCCAGGTGAGGCACTCATCGATTTCCAGTGCAGAAGTTCCTTATGGGAAAAGTTAAATTTTCTAGGAGCTAGTGTTTGGACTGGAGCAAGATGGCAAATGGAATGATGTTTATGGAGTTGCACAGATAAAGGTTCCTTCAGAAATAGATTGTTACGGCCCATCTCTCCAGATCAAGATGTCAATGCAGGTACCTACTGTAGCATCAAGCCGATGCCTCCAGGGTCTTCAAAAGTGGTATTACAATGCTGCAGAATTCAACAAACTTGGGTCAATGCATGATGGCACACTTTATGAAGACGAAGATGTTAAAGAGGCCATGAGGAGGCTTCCAGAGAATCTGTATAGTAATCGAATGTTTCATATCAAGAGAGCTCTGGACCTGACCATGAGGCAGCAGATATTGCCTAAAAACCAGTGGATAAAATATGAAGAGGACAAATTATATTTTCAACCATATCTGAAGGAGGTTATACGTGAAAGAAAAGAAAGAGAAGAATGGGCTAAGAAGTAATCATGTCAAAAGAATCTATCAATACATTAATCTTCAAAATATTTTTAACAAGCATGCTTGTGCAAAAGATGAGGTTAGCTAACCATTTGTAACTGTGTGCTGAACATTTATTTAATTTAAATAAATGACTATCATAGGAACTTGTGAACTAGAAAAAGAAAGAAATATATTATTTGCTATGCTAAGGAATGGACTTTCTTGTGTAATAGAGTCCATTTTGGTATTAGCTTCAGATTGTATTTGAGATACATTCCCCACTGGGTTGACTCAAGTTTGAGAGGATGGCTTTGTGTGCATATGAAACAAGGGTTAAAGTAATCTAATAATTTAGAGATTTTCTAAGTTAATTACTTGGGTTTATAAAATTCTCTATAAAACTTTTTTATATATATTAGTAGAAACACAGTGAGTGAAACACATTTTTTTCCTTGTTTAGATTATATAATGAACTCTTAGAGAACTTTCCTGTATCATGCCCAAGCCAACCAATAAAAGCTTTTGTAAACTCGTAAAGGAGCCTACAATTTTACATAGTTTTTATGGGTACACAGCAAAATGGTTTGCACCACAGTGCAATAAATTTGGGACTGTCTTCATAGTCACCCAAGGAAAAAGCAGATGGGAGGCAGCAGATAGTTTTAGGTTTTTTACTTAATTTCTTCATAATTGCAACATTCACAAAACTATTCATGAATAACAAAATTATATGTTTCACATGTGGGTATGGCTCAGCATACATGTGTACATATGTGTATACGCACATGTTTACATATGTGTATACACACATGTTTTTATTCACTAAATTATTTTATTCTAGAAAGAAACTGCAGATTTAAGTCAGAGTTACAACCTCACGTTCACAAAAGAAAGTCACCAGTTATTAATATGCAAAGGTACATGATTAAAAAACACAGTAATGGGTAATAACAGATGGGAGTGCCTTTGGTTTATATATCTACACAGATGTGTGTATATATACAAATTATATATGTGTGTATATATGTGTGTGTGTGTGTGTGTGTGTGTGTGTACTTTGACTTAAAGTATATCACAAAAGATTGTCATGATTTGGGTTAGGTTTTTCATCCTCTCTGATGGTCTATCTCTAAGGATTTATCTGCAGAAAGCAAAATTTGGTATATGATTATTAAAATTAAATTTGGCTAGGCACTTAATGATAGCAGACCTTAAACTTTTATTATGAAATACTCCAAACAAATATCTTTTTTTAATTAATTAATTTATTTTTAGTTTTCAACATTCACTTCCACAAGATCTGAGTTCCAAATTTTCTCCCCATCTCTCCCACCCCAAGATGGCATGCATTCTGAATACCCCTTCCCCCAATCTGTCCTCCCTTCTGTCATCACCCCCCCTTCTCTTATTCCCTTCCCCTTCTATTTTCCTATAGGGCAGGTTAGATTTCTATACCCCATTGCCTATATATCTTATTTCCCCATTGCATGTAAAAACAATTTTTAGCATTCAAACAAATATTTTTAAACAGAATTCCTGATTAAGATTATCACGAGGGAGAATGCTTACTAGTTCTAAAAAAATAAATCATTATGGAATTGGTTTTGATTTCCACAAACATTTATTGGCCTTCATGATGCAACTGTTATCCTTTGTTTTTAATCATCCTTTTAAAAGTACTTTTTGCTACCATGCCAGTCAACAAACTTTCATTAAGCACCTACTGTATGCCAGGTACTGTGATAAACTCGGAGGGTAGAAAGAAAGACAAAAGACAATCCCTGCTCTTGAGGAGCTCACAGTCTAATGGACACTTTTAGGTCAAAGCTACTTACCACAAGCCTTTATGATTGAGTGGAGACTTTTATCCTCCATTTTAATTTTTGTTTCTGTAAAAATTAAGTAAAATAAATAATTTATAAACTTCAGTCTTAGAACATATAGACCAACTTTCCTCATGTATCTACTTGAAAAGTTTTTTTTAAACCACCCTATTTTTAAAAGATCTTATTTAATTCCTCCCTACACGTTATAATTTCCTATTTACAATGGTTTTCAGAATTTTGTTTAAGTAGTTAAAAACTGGTAACTACTCTAGAATATTTCATTACATTTTTGGCATTTAAAAGGGCAACTTACTACAATCTAGTAGTGATCTGAAGATTATGATTTTTTTTAACCTTCAGCGTTTTAGAATAATACTTCAGGTAAAATTTCCTTGATGAAAGCAACTTTTAAAAATACCTGATTTGTATCGATGTTCTACAATATGATCCACTGTAGGAACCACTGGT